TGATCATCAGGATGAATTGGTTGGGGCCCAATGGGGCCATGATAGACTGCGAGCATCAGCTGGTGAGAGATCGAACCCCAAGTGGGGGAGAACTGGATATTCATGGAGAGAGAGCCTCACGTGGGCCAGCTCTATGTTTGGCTGCGAGGGCTAGGAGACTTCTTAGCAGGGTTGTCCTGGGTTCTTGGCTTATGTTTTAGACACGAGGGTTGAGGCCACACCAGAGCTGAGCAGTGTTCTCATTTAGCGAGATTTTCCTGACGTATTTCCTGAAGCGTTGCCAGGGGTGCCTCCGGTAAGGAAAGTGGAGTTTTGTATTGATTTAGTGTCTGGTGCGGCTCCGATAGCCAAGGCACCGTATCGTCTAGCTCTGCCTGAGATGCAGGAGTTGTCTATGCAGCTTCAGGAGCTGCTAGACCAAGGATTTATTCATCCGAGCAGTTCCCTGTGGGGAGCACCGATCCTGTTCGTTAAAAAGAAGGATGGGTAACACAGGATGTGTATTGATTATCGTGAGCTGAACAAGCTAATGGTGAAGAACCGTTATCCGCTTCTAAGGATCGATGATTTGTTCGACCAGCTTCAGGGTGCATCTTGGTTTTCCAAGATTGATCTTCGGTCGGGGTATCACCAGATGAGGATTAGGGATGAGGATATACCGAAGACGGCCTTCAGGACTCGTTATGGGTTTGTAAACCGATGTTGGATCGGTCTGTGATCGTCTTCATTGATGATATTTTGGTCTATTCTAAGACCAAGGAGCAGCACAAGCAGCATTTGAGGGAGGTGTTGGAGACTTTGAGGATGGAGAAGCTATACACCAAATTCTCTAAATGTGATTTTTGGTTGCGTGAGGTGAAGTTTTTGGGGCACATCATCAATCAGGAGGGTATTTTGGTTGATCCAGCCAAAATTGAGGCGGTGATGCGTTGGGAGGTTCCGAAAAATGCATCAGAGATCCGGAGTTTCTTGGGTCTGGCAGGGTACCATCGGAGGTTTATTTAGGATTCCTCCAAGATCGTCGTACCTTTGACCCGGTTGACCAAGAAAAGCATGACCTTTCGGTGGGGTCCAGATCAGCAGTCGGCATTCGAGACCTTGAGGAAGAAATTATGTGAGGCCCCGATTCTAGCACTACCCGAGGGATTGGAGGACTTTGTAGTGTATTGTGACGCTTCTATATTGGGATTAGGAGCAGTTCTGATGCAGAGGGGGCACGTGATTGCTTATGCTTTGAGACAGTTGAAGCCCCACGAGGCGAATTACCCTACTCATGACTTGGAATTGGGGGCGGTGGTGTTTGCCCTCAAGATTTGGAGACATTATTTGTATGGGGTCTGATGCACTATTTTCACTGATCACAAGAGTTTGAAGTATTTGATGGATCAGCAGAATCTGAATATGCGACAAAGGAGATGGCTTGATGTAGTAAAGGATTATGACTGTGAGATCTTGTACCATCCTGGGAAGGCCAATGTGGTGGTCGATGCTTTGAGCCATAAGACGGCAAGTGCCCTGATTCGAGATATTTGCTTGAGGATGACAGTGATTTCACCTTTATTGGACACGATTAAGGGGGCACAAGTGGAGGGTTTCAAAAGAGAGAACTAGAAGATCGAGTGGATTTGGGGGCATATCCTGCTGTTTGTTCAACATGGTCGAGGGTTATTGACTCAGTGTGGCAGAGTTTGGGTTCCGACGTCAGGGGGTGTGAGGCAAAGAATCTTGGAGGAGGCACACAAGTCCAAATTTTCTATCCATCCGGGGGCTACAAAGATGTATCGAGACCTGAGATTGAGTGATTGGTGGACCTGTATGAAGCGGGAGGTTGCGTGGTTTGTCGAGCGGTATTTGACCTGCAGGAAGGTCAAGACCGAACATCAGAGGCTTCACAGCAAGATGCAGCCGCTACCTATTCCCATGTGGAAATAGGAAGAGATTTATATGGATTTTATCACGAAGCTACCTAGGACGGCGCAGGGTGTGGATTCCATTTGGGTTATTGTGGATAGGTTGACCAAGAGTGCTCATTTTATTCCGGTCTCCGAGAGTATCTCCGCCGAGAAATTAGCAGATATTTATGTGCGGGAAGTAGTGGTTAGGCACGGGGTGCCAGTATCTATGGTCTTGGACCGTGATGTTCGTTTCACCTCCAGGTTTTGGAGGAAGTTCCATGAGGAGTTGGGAACTCAGTTGCATTTCAGCACTGCTTACCACCCCCAGACCGACGGTCAGAGTGAGCGGACGATTCAGACACTCGAGGATATGCTTCGAGCATGTGTATTGGATTTCATAGGGAGTCCATGGCAACTTTGTATGTATATGTATGAGCATGACATTATATGATTATATGATTTGTGTGATTGGGAAACTCACTAAGATTGTGCTTACAGTTTTATTGAATGTTTCAGGTACTTCTGTTGATACGGGCAAGGGTCCGGCTTGATGACATGGCGTGCATTCTCCAGTGTTTTCACAATTAGCTTTTTTGTACTATGAATTCAAAAATAATATGGATATGTATTGGGATTTTTGTACTTCCTATGGATGATATTTATGAAATTAAAAGTTTGAAAATTTTATAAAAATTGGGTCATTACACCATTACTAGATATTATTGTTTCAAATCATTCCTCATGCAAAAATATGAATGTAGGCGAAAACCGCATGTAAATCCGAGTCCGTATGCAAAAGTTATGAATAAAATACTAAAATTCAAAACTTTTGGTCGAGCTGAGAAAACTGATGTCTGTGTGTGGGCCACGTGTCGTAGCAGCCCAAACACCCCCAAAAATCCCTCTATCAAAGTGTTATGTTCATAATGTTTACAAACACACAAATGAAAGGGTTAAGAGCTCAAGTTGCCCAAAAACACTCTTGAACCAATATGACTTATTCCCAAATCATCTAATACATCATTGGGTGTTGTTAAGTACATAGAACCATAATTTATCTCATTGCAAGTACTTCATGCAACTATGGAATCCTCAAATCCATTCCATGTTCCCAAATTACCCTTGGGTCAAAACAATCATTAGAGTTAGAACTTCACTAGCAATCCTTCGTGTTAAGTTTCCAATAACATATCTAGAGTGTCAATTCATGTTCATGAATGTCATTCACTTCTTATATGTCAATCAACATATAGTTATCCCTAGATTTCCCAAAATACCCTTATGACTAATTATTACATATATCAATCTTGGAATCAAGCAACACCTTATGTTTTGATTTCAAATCATTCCAAGAGTATCCACTCCTAATTATGAACTTCCTTTACCCATCAATCTCTCAACTACAAAGGACTCCATTGGTTTCATCATATTGTCCCCAAAACCATTTCAATTCTTATACATGATTCTACCATCATATATGTGTTTGAGCATTCCATTTGGATTCATTGCCTTCAAACAACATCTAGGTCATTGAATCCATTCCAATCTAACATATAAACATGAAATCCCTAATTTGAATTTCTAAGGGTGAGGGTTTTCACCTAAATCCTCAAATCCATCAATGAGATGATTGGATTGAGATTGGGATCATCAAAACAACTCAAGGGAGGTTAGAAACCAAAACCCTAATTAATGAATCAAACTGATTTCAACATTGGGGTTCATCCCCTTCATCAAATTCGAATTTTAAGCTAAGTGGGGAGGAGATTTTTACCTTGCAAGCCTTGAATCCTTCTCTCCTTTGCTTGGTTGCTTAACTCACCACTTGAATCATACCCTAGATGAGAGGTAGAAGAAGAATAATCATTAGAAGCTCTCTAGAATGCTTCGTCCGTATCTGGAAGATAAGTGAGGAGAGTGTTCATCTTATTTCCCTCTTTTTCACATTTAGTCCCCCAAATTTCACATTTTTGTCCAAAATAGTCCATTCTTCCAATATATGTGACTTTTCTTTGAGAATAGACATCCTAAGTCCCTCTCCATCCATTACATAACTTTTGTAGCCACTTCCATTAGTTGAGTCAACCCTTGGTCAAACGTACTTTGCCAAATTGGCACTGTTGGTCACTTAATTTTTGAAGTTTTGCTATTTACACTTCTAACTTTCTAAATTTCATACAACTAATGATATGATTAATCCTTGAAGATTTATTTATATAAATCATTTTTTATTAATTTATTAATTTAAGAACATAGCCTTAAAAATTTTTTGCCTCATCATTTGTAGATTCATCAACATCAAATGTTTGAGCAACATCAACAACAGCCTTACCTTTATACCTAAAATCACCTTTTCTATAGGTCAATTGTAAGAAGGAACATGATTCAATGTCATAGGTAATAAATTACAAATTTGGTCACTTCTAGCGCTGGAAGACCCATTACCATAAATAGGATTTCCCCCTAGAAATCGATTAATACCATTTTCAATAAATGATTAATAACAAATAATTGTAATATGTTAAGAGGGATACTACTAACAAAACTAAGAAAATATTTGGCGTTGCTATCGTCAATAATATGTATTACTATGTTTGATCCAGGACATTGAAAAGACAGACATATTTGATTAGTGTGTAACCTAGACTTGAAAGCAACCAACGTAATCAACTCATAAAAAGTTTATATCATTGCTTATATCTATACCAAAGCACGTCTAGTCTGTAAGGGTGGCAATTGGGTTGGGTTTGGGTTCACGAGTAACAGGTTGGCGGGTCAGAATACATCAACCCAACCTAACCCATATATGTATGCAGTTTGGCGGGTCACGGGTTCGCGGGTTGGAAACATCAATCCGAACCCGACCCAAATAACCTTTTTAATTATATAAGTTCTCGAGTTTGCGGGTCAGTTTCGGGTTAGTGGATCTGTTTCAAGTTAGAGGGTCGACGGGTCATTTCGGGTTAACTTTTCACATATTAAATTATTATATGGATTATACATTTCTCTAAAATTAATTACTAAACATCATTTAAGCATATACACTAGATATGGAGCAATATTCATGACAAAAGTGACAAATTACTAAAACGTCTAATGGCAACGATGGAGCTCATGTTCGTCGGTGCCGGTGCGGAGTATCCGACAAGATAAAGGGGGTGAGTTAGTGATAAGGGTGAACTGTGAACTGCAAAGGGTGATACTGATTTGGATTTCTCGATTCTAGCATTCTAGGACATGCTCCAAGCAAACACCAATTAATTAATAAATATTAAATATTTTTTAAAAATCCTATATATTTGGCGGGTCGACCCGCGAACCCAAACACATAACCAAAACTTGACCCATGAAATAGGCGGGTTAACGGGTTAGAAATCTCAAATCAAAACCGTTTATTTTCTAGTTGGGTTCGTGTCGAGTTTTGGGTTGGGTCCAAAATTGTCACCCTTAGTAGTCTGGAGCAATATATTGCATAGATTTCTCGATTCGTTGTCATTGCCCTCAACTAGAAACTTGTATTCTAAGAAATTCCTTATATGAATTCATTTTGTTTAGTATCCAAAAGATTTATGAGTTTATACAACAAAAATGACAATATAAATACCCTAATATTGTCAGGGATCGTCCGTATATCCAAACTAATCTCCGAAATGTACTTTCTAATGTTAAATGTATGAGTTTCAGATTCTGGACAAGTCTAATACCAACCAACACCAACTCGGAATGACCAAAAATATTCTGAAATATGATATTCCGGAATAAATATTTGTTTTTTAAAAAGCAAAAATTATATTATAATAGTTAGTTTAATGAATTTCCGTATTTATTATTGTCAATTTGGTAAAAATGCTAAAAATGTGTTAATCGCCATTAATAAAATTAAAAATACACTTCTTGGACCCTGTGCCATATCAAAGCCTTAGAGTGCCGAAACGGACCATACTAGGAAGTAGGAACACCCTCTCTCTCTCTCTCTCTCTTTCTCAAACAAGGAAACAGTGATGCATTATTGAAGAACAAGGTTCTTTCCCCTCTGACTTTTGTTCTAGTTTCATCTGATTTACATACGCAATATATAAAATCTCGATTGACGATCTTTCAGCTCACTTCGATCAATTGATGAGCACTCCATTTTAGATTCTCCAAACAGGTAATTTTAATAAATGTTTACAGCTTCCTTCTTCAATTTCAATTTACGATTTTTGATCGTGTCGTTTATCATCGAATAGTGATCGGACTAAAATCTATAGAAGGAAAAATAATAATAAGCAGGGAAAAGCTCCTTGAGACGAGTGTCAGTCGGTGGTGCATCGATACCATGGCTATTGTTGAGAACGGTGTGTCGAATAACCAGGTGGAATCAAAGGATGCTGATCAGACAGAGTCTTCGATTTTGATTTCGAGGTCAAATCAGGAGAAGAAGATAACGTCTAATAACACAAACGGCACTTTAATAAATGGAAATGGTGTCTCGAATCATCCTCAGCATCATTTGGTAGTGAATGGGGCTGATCGCCATGGCCATGAAGAGGGTTTTAAGAAAGATATGAGAGATTTGGAGGAAATCCTGTCGAAATTAAATCCTATGGCTGAAGAATTTGTTCCCCCTTCACTCTCCAAGAACGTTTATAATAGGGCTTTACTACAACCACCATCTCCTGCAACTCACTTTGGTTATGCTGCTGTTAATGATTTCCTACTCCAAAATAACCACACAGCTTTTGCCAATGTCGATGGCATTAACACCGGAAGGGTATACTCTTATCCATATCCTCATTTCCATTTCTTCTTGCTTGTCTTAACTCATTTCATGATTGATATCAATCAACACTTGCAGTTTCCTATATTTCTGTTGCTGATTGATCTAGGTTTTTATCGTTTTATGTTTAGAAGAAGGGTAATTTTAGCAATGGAAAGAGGAGGATGAATAGCCGAACTAACTTGGCACAACAAGAAGATGCCATTAAGAGAACAGTTCATGTGTCCGACATTGATCAACAGGTAAAAAGATTTATATTATCACATAATGTAATAATATCAACTTTATTGAAGTTTACAAGCCAATAATTTCTAATACTCTATTGATGTTTGACTACAGGTAACTGAAGAACAACTTGCAGCACTTTTTATTCATTGTGGACAGGTAAGTTTTAAACAGGTTACTCAACCATTAAAGCCTTTTGATTTTGCTCATATATATCAAAGTTGTCTAACTGTTATTCCTCTTATTCGGTTATTTTCATTCCACTAAAGGTTGTTGATTGCCGTGTATGTGGTGACCCTAATTCTGTTCTTCGTTTTGCTTTTGTTGAGTTTACTGATGAGGGTATGCAAATATAACCTTTTTATACACCTTTAATAAGTAATATCTTATATATATATATATATATATATATATATATATATATATATGTTTTGTATTACATAATTTACATTTAGTTTCTCTGATGTTTTTGCAGAAGGTGCAAAGAATGCATTGACTCTTGCTGGAACAATGCTTGGTTTCTATCCAGTTAGGGTTTTGCCTTCAAAGACTGCAATAGCACCAGTGAATCCCACTTTTCTGCCTCGAGTGAGATTTTTTGACTTTTGACTTTTGACTTGTGAAACTTGAATAAATTATTTATGTACAATTGTACACAGTTGTGCTAACTCTATTAATTTTGATGTTGTTTTAGTCTGAAGATGAAAGGGAAATGTGTGCAAGGACTATTTATTGTACTAACATTGATAAGAAGGTAGTTAAAGTTTTATCTTTCTTTTTTTTTGTGTGTTTGTATTTGATGAATGTTTTTGTGTGATCTGTGTTTTGTTTTAAGCAGGTTACTCAGGCAGATGTCAAACTCTTTTTTGAATCACTTTGTGGAGAGGTTTATACTTTATAGCTTTTTTTTTGTTTTACATTTAAAACATTTTGAGTAGTTTGTTGTGATATGAATTGTTAATAAGATGTTATTAACTTTGCTTTTGATAGGTTTATCGCTTGAGGTTGCTTGGAGACTATCATCATTCCTCTCGTATTGCATTTGTGGAGTTTGTGATGGTGAGTTTTTTTAAGTATTTTTATCTTGTTTTTTTGCTTTTAATATGCAATATGTTTGTCAAACTTGATTGGCCTATATATTTTAAACTTCACATCTGTTGAATTCATTTAAATTATCTTTTCAAGTATGGCATAGGTGTGTCATTGTAAGTTTAGCTCTTTTTTTCTTTGTTCAAGAATTGATTTCTTTGCATTTTGGTTTTTGGAAAGTCGTACATAAAGCATTTTTTTTCTTCAGTTAAGTGTTGTCTGGATAAATGGTGTTTAACAGATATTTGAGAAAATGAAGGCACTTTGGGAAATGGAATGAGAAAATAAATGAAGGAAAGTTTGTAAAAGAGTTGAGACTTAATTGGGAAAATCCTCATTTCACTCACTTTTAAGTCTTTCTTTTTGTATTAAGTCAAAAAGAAACAACACCTTAGCACAAGTAGTTTTGCTAAGTAGTTAACAGAAATTAGGTAGATTTTTCAAAGTAGCGAGTAAATAAGAAAAAAAAAATTATAAATTACAATGCTATTATTGGGTAGCTTTCTCAAAGTAGAAAGTGTTAATTAGAAAAAAAAAATCATATTACAATGATTTAATAAGAAGAAATTAAACTAGGATGCAATAATAAACAAGGGTAAGTGCAGGAAAGTACTTCCATTTATATGTGTACTATAGCATCCTATTTTCATTTCTTTCCATTACAACATTGTACTTATATTTATTTTAAGTTTATTAACAAATTGTACTTTGAAGAATCTACCCAATTATAGAATTGTCCTTTCATATTTATTTCTTATAAAGATATTATACTATGAAAAATTTATCCAGTTATTCAGTGAAAATTACTTTGTGTTTCGATGACATTAATATAATTCGATAGATTTTCCAATTACAATGCTGTAATAGCAAGAACTGAAAGTAGGATGTTATAATAAACAAATCAAACAAAAGTTTATTGCTATTTCTTGCATTCAACTCTAATAATAATAAACAAATGAAGAAAAATATTTTGATGTTTCTTGTATTTAACATTAATAAACAAATAAATGAAAGTATGTTGTTGTTTCTTGCATTTATAGGCCGAGAGTGCAATTGCTGCCCTGAACTGTAGCGGTGCGGTATTGGGATCATTGCCGATAAGGTAACATACTTTACTTTCGTAAAATAAATAAATAAATAAACATTAAAAGTAGAATGCTATAATCGGATAGATTTTTCAAAGGGTTCCAGTTCCAGTTTCAGTCTCAGTCTCGGTCTCGGTCTCGGTCTCACATGATACGCCTAGAATGGTGTGGGTCGCTCTTATGTGAGATAGTTGTGTGCCTGATTTACATCTCACATGATGCTTTTGGGCTAGCCAGACAGACAGTGTGGTCCAGCTCAGGGGTTGTTACTGTTAGAAGAATAATAGTACTTAAGTGTCATAAAATTCCCGTTTTGACATATATCTGTGTGATTGTTTGCTTGCAGGGTAAGTCCTTCGAAGACTCCGGTGCGCCCACGTGCACCTCGCCCTGCCATGCATTGATGATGGGTTTGGTGGTGGTGGTGGTGGTGATAGTTATTATCTATCTAAATATACACCTACACAACGTAGTAGATTATATTACATCAAACTTATTGACTGTTTATGTTTGTTTATGTTTGTTCATTTGTGTTATGCATCTCGGAGTCTCAATATGTTTATAGAGCTATCTGTTTAAAATTGTAGAGAGATGGGAACAAGCATACAGTTTTGTTTCAGCTTTTAATTTTTATTTTTTTTTATATATTTATGATGAAATTTGTTTCTGTTTTTTACTTGATAGGTTTTAAGTGATATGTGAGGTGGTTTTTTATTTAATAATGAAATAACGACTTAACAAATGTTATTAAGAAATTAACATTTTAGAAAGTTACGCATGTTTATTTTTCTTTCCTTTTCCTTCGGGGTTGTTATTTTCTCAAGTATGTTTTTTTTACATGATTTAATCCCAACAACATTTTATTCATACAACACTTATTATTAAACCCACCCTAGGGTGAAATCGTGGTGTAGGTAAATCGCGAAGTTGTAGCTAAGTTTTGGTCATATGTGAATTTTGAACCCAGAAACTTTTTTAAAGAAATTTTACACCTCAACAATTAGAATCTCAGCACATAGAGAAGGTCTAACGAATGATGAAATGTGTGTGTTTATATATGTTTTGATTTAGACCCTTTTCATTGTGGTTAGTAACCCACTCTTTAGATCAAGTTTGATATGAATCAATGTTCCATTTAAACTAATCATTTCTTTCTTTTTCAAGATGTAACCATGAAGCAACATGCATATTACATCACATGTTTTTTTGATGAAAGTTATCCACCAACCGGTCCTACAACTAACATAAACAGGTATATCAAAATGTCCCCAGATTAAGGTTGATCATGCCCCACCGTATAACACAGTAGTTCTGGGATGATATATTTGCAAAAATGGTCAAAAGTTTGAATCTCAACAATTGCAGTTTCAATTCCAATAAGGATTTCATTAGGACAATAAGCTCTTATATCAGTCTAGCATGTTGTGTACCTTATTTACATATCATAGATAGATGCTCATGGGCCAAGCCCAACAAGAATAACCCTTTTGCAAATATATATATATATATATATATATATATATATATATATATATATATATATATATATATATATATAAAATACATTTTAAAGTCTATCATCCACGACTTAATGGGAAGTTTTAAAATGAAAAGCATCTTAATTTCCACACAAACAAAAGGATTGCATTTCACATCTCATTTACATAATTGTATCTCAAAAAGAAAACAGAGACATTCCTTAATACAAGTAAGATAAATAGTATGTGGTTCATACAAGAATTAAGAGCTTTTCATGCTTCAGTTGTGTCTGAACTACTTGTTTCAGTATCTAGTTTTTCGAGTTCTAATGTTGCACTGAATCCAAAATCACTTCCAGGGTTAAATGATGATTTTAGCTCTTCTGCACTTTGAATTGTGTTGATCTTATTTTCTTTTACCAAAATATTGTTCTGCAACAAAATATCAATATAGTTTCATTGATTTGTATGTTACAACATTTGACTTTTATTTCTTTCTAATACAGCATTGTACTTTGAAATAATCTAATCCAGTTATTATAGCAATATCATCTGTGTATAATTGAGTTGATTTTTCAAAGTCTAATGTCCTAATGAGAAAAAAAAAAGTATAATGTTATAAATGAGTAGATTTTTCAAACCAACCCAAATACAATTATAATAATAATAATAATAAAAAGCAATTTATAGTTATTTTTAGAAAATAGAACTTTAAGTTGACTAAAACTGTGAAATCACATTCCTTTAAAGATGGTCCATTCCATTCCATCAGACAAAACAAACAACTTTTTTTTTCAATTCCAGTGGAATGAATTATTCCATTCCTTCACCAATTCCATCATACCAAACACTACCATGGAGTTAAGAAATGACCAAATAAAACAGAAATAATAACTTGCCTTTTTCACGTAATCAGCCACAGTGGAAGTAACTATTTCTTGAATAACAAATTTTGTAACACGATCTTCACCAATAATTGACAACAGAAAGCTTTTCGGGACCTACAAAAAGTTTTTGAAATCTTATAAAAAATTGGAAGATTTTTTTTTTGGTAAATTCCAAATGTTTCCCTCAATTTGTTGTAATTAGAGGGTATTTGAGGCATTTCACAAAGGGACAACAAAAGTTACATAAAGATGCAGCAGCCAACTAAGCTGCATTTTTAATAAAGGTTTAAATGCAAGAAATAGCAACATACTTCATTGGTTTGTTTATTATAGCATCATATTTTCATTTCTTTCTATTAAATATTATAATTCTAGAAAGTAAATAATACAATCATATTACGCATTTAATTTTTCTCAGCAACGTTTCATTTTTTGATTAAATTTGTAATGTCCTAATAAAACGGTTGAATGTGTATTTATGCAACAACATTTCACTTTTTTTCTTCTAAATTTGTGCAACAAAGTGGTTTTTTATATAAAATATACAATGACGTTTCATTTTAGGACCAACAGATGCAATATTTAACCAGTAACTTGTTTAACAAGTTGAAAAAAGGTAAAATAATTTGTGTGAGTTGCATAAATTGGTAAAATGAAACATTGTTGCATAAATTGGTAAAATAAGTGAAACATTGTTGCAATGATTAGCATTTATGGGAATGACTTGTGGCTACAATGTTGCAGATTTTGTCTAATAATTTGGGAAAAGTTGTTGCATAAAATGTGCTTTTAACCCTTAATAAAATAAATGAATTATGTGATGCTACCTTGGATGTTTTCCCTGAAAGCCACCATCCACATGCAAAAGAGAAACAAGGTTAGAAATACAAAACTTACAAGAATAGAGTGGAAAAGTAAGCAATAACTAATAGGTTCAAATGCAAGAAACAGCAACATACTTTCTATTGTCTGTATTATGGCATCTTACATTCATTTTTTCTATTACTTTTCTTGTTATTAAAGCATTGTAGTTTCAATTTTCTTATTATTAGGACATTATACTTTGAAAAATCTAAGCAATTATAGCAGTGAAAATTAGTTTGTATATGGAGAAACCCTAGGCACCAAATACTCTAAAATCTCAATTCTCACCAAATAATTTCAGTGCTTTCACTTTTACATCACAAAATAACTAAAATCAAACAAAAGGAGATTTTTGCTCTCAAAATGTTCCAGAAGGAATTGGAATTTGAAGGACTTGTAATATGAGAGAGAGAGAGAGAGAGAGAGAGAGAGAGAGAGAGAGACAAAAATGAAAACTCTTGACTGGAAAAACGAAACTTTAAAGACAAGGGCAATTTAGTCATTTTTTCTGTAAATTAAGACATCACCTCCTTTTTGTCTGCGGAAGCCTGGAACTGGTGGTGCTGTACGAGCCAAATTTGTGAGAACCTTATCAAATACAATTTGTGTCTCCTTCCCTGATAATTCCACTTTTACCTGCCACCAAATATCCTCACTAAATGTCTGAATAAATTAAGACATAATCCAAATGCAAACAAAAAAAAAAGAACTTTATCTTTTCGTATAAGTGAGGTGGCACAACGTATATATAATCCATGAAATTGGCATAAGAAATTAGTAGTATAAGACATTGAGCTCACTTGCATCTTATCATCATCTTGGGACTCCACAACTATATTGGCATTTTTTATAGTTACCACATTCTCATCTGATATTGAAGCTTCTACACCTGCCATGTATTATATAAATAACTTCTGTAATCTGATTTCAGTTAAAGGTCAATGCAATAAATAGCAAGTACTTTCATGGATTTATTCCAATTATAGCATTGTAATCTGAAAATCTATCCAATCAAAGCAGTGTCACCGAATAAAAAAAAAAAAAAAATTTCACTGCTTTAGTTGCATAGGATTTTCAAAGTATAATGTCCTAATAAGAATAAATGAAAGTGCAATGTTGTAATTAGGAAGATTCAAGATTGTTGAAACTACAATGACTTAATAAGAAAGAAATGGAAGTAAAATGTTGTAAAAGAGAGATAAAAGTACGATGATATAAATTATAGTAATACATAGCATATGAAAGTATGTTGCTATTTCTGGATTTAGTAATTAAATGGAAAGAGACGTATTGGAGGGTTTTTGAAAAGTTGAAGATCACCTGGTTCAACAGCAAGTAGGGGTCTAACATAGGAGCCAAGAATCTTACGGGAGTTGCAGGAGTCCATTGTTCTGTATAAAGCAAAAGGTTATAACCTATGGTTTAACACTTTAACTACTTAAATAACTTGGTTATCTGTGAAAACAATTATTATTTTTACACAAGAAAATAGTAAGTTACCTTGCATCACGATTTTGGATTGTAGAGAAAAGATTGATAGTTGATAATGTATGCCAACTTGGAACATGTATGTGGTTGCTCTTAATAGCAGGATGCTGTAGACAGGGAGCCGTGTAACAGTTGATATACATAAGAATATTAGGATACTGATATGCATTTTTTCCCAAAATTTAATGACTTTTCAATACCTAGAACTTGATATAAAATTCAGTGAATTGATGAAAACTTTGTCATATTATTACAAGACTAAAGTGTTGTTTCTTTTGACTTAATGGACTTAAAGGTAGTTTGCATTGACCTTAACAATCAACCTATGCCTCTCTTTTTCCTACATGGAATAGAGGGAGTTTTGGAGAGAATAATAAGCATTACATAATGTCTGAATGCATTCTGCTTCACTCATAGCTATAACTGTTCACAATGGCAGCATCAACTATAAAGTTATTTTCACACAACATGATCAATTTGACAAATGAGGAAGTATTGACACTGACTTTTTCTCATTCATTCCACCATAAACAAACTAATTTTCGTCCTACTCCCATATACACTGCTGGTTGGAACCCTAATTCTAACAGGGCATTAGACCTGAAAACTTTAGCAGTGGCAGCGTAAGCAATTTACATCTCAAATAGAAATGCGGGGCAAATCAGCAAGAAGTTTCAGTCCCGCAGTTGACATATTTGAACTAAATATTCAGTAGGTATAATCCTACTCCTTTCCGATTAATTTTGAGTTCGAACGGCGTAAGCTAGCATGTTTTTCTATATAATCAAACAGGAGAATAGGAGATGGATTTATTTACTGCATTGCAGTCATAGTATAAGGAATCTACGAAAAATGGAATTGGAATACAGGTAGGGTTTGCTGAAAGTTACTCTGCAGTCTTTGAATTGGAAAAATGTTTGAGGAACGTTCATCGTTAT